GAGCGTGCCTGGGTGTGTGGGCTCAGGGGTGCGGTAATTTCATTGCCCTCTCTGGAAAGTCTTTTGTTAGTCTGCTTTCTCCATGACTGTCCATTCTGTCTCCTTTTCTCTTGTGGCTCCAGAACAAAAAGCTGTGCGCCTCACTCCAGAGGTCTGGGGAAGGTTTTAGTTTAAAATGCTGGGAGCAGGTGAGCCACAGGCAAAACCTTTCTTTCTTCTGACCCACCCATAAACTGAGGCTGCATGTGTTCTTCACAGACAGGTGGCTGAGCTAGCCCATGGTGGGGGGGCGGGGGTTCGGAACAAACTTCGCTGTAAGTTGAGGTGGCCTGGACTTCTTGACAGAGGAAAAGAAAGGTCACGGGGAGCAGAGAAGAATGCTGAGGTGTGTGTGTGGGGGGTGGTGTTCCTGCAGAATTGGTGCCCGGAAATGGAGCTCCACCCTTGGTCTGTGTCGAGGCCACCATCAACACCACCACCATGCTGCAGACCACTGCTTTCTATGCTCGCCTTGCTCGTGTTTGCAGCCTGGCTGGTTGTCTCCTCTTCCCGATCCCCGGCTCCACCTCCTTTCCATCCTTTCTTCGTCTATCCCTACATCCTCCCTCTCTCCTGCCTGTCTCTAACCTTTTGCTTCCTTTTAGAATAATCTGTTAGCTTCATTTCTGTATTTAGAAATCATGCCCAGCCTACTTCCTAAATTGACTTTCTGTCGCCCTAAAATAAAGTTACAACTAGGGGCTGAAGAGATGCCTCTGTGCTTAAGAGCAACTTCCGCTCTTGCAGAGGACCCAGGTTCGGTTCCCAGTACCTACCTGGCAGCTCACGACCGCCCTGAGTGACTCCAGCTGCAGAGGATCAGACGCCCTCCTTTAACCTCCACAAGCATGGCATATAGATACATACATGGAGACGAACTCTTCTATGCATAAGATAAAAATCAATAAATATTAAAAAAAATAAAGTCACAAGTAAAAGCATGGGACAATGCACACTGAGATGGCAAGAGAAATCAGAGCTATAGGGAAGAGAGGCGCCAGTTTCTGCTGCTGAGCACTGAAATTTGCCCTGAACTCTGGAGTAGCCTAGGGAAAAAGGGGAACTTGGGAACTTGGGCTGCCTGCTCCGTGTTCTGTTCCAGGAAGCACACATACTGGTCAAGTGAGGCAACTTTTGGGTGGAGGACATGTCATTTCCAAACTAATTCTGAAGCATCAGAAACAATATACAGAATTTCCTAGGGACCCAGGGCTTCGGAGACAAATTCTAGGACACAGTTTCCTTTCCCTAGAACGAACTTCTCTGTTAAGCTGGCTTTTCTGTGGCTTCCTCTCGTGTAAACCTCACTCGCTATTTCTGTTCTCATTTGTCTGTCTTCCTTTGCTTCTCCCCTCTTCCCCTGACCCAATTTCCCCGTCTTCCGATCCCATAGATACTCCCAGGAACATCCACAACCATACATTTAGCCTTCTCTTGCCTTTTCCCGGAGCCCTGTAGTTATGCGCATGTCCACTGCTCCTTGCACACTCAAGTGATTCTTCTTCCCGTGGCTTCTAAGGCTGCTTTAAGGAAAACAGTTTAGCCTTAGGAAAGGAAGAGACGAGGGATTCTGTTTACCATTGCTCTTCTGCACTATCCCATCTCCTGGTCCAGCCTGGGTATTTAACTGGTCCTCACTGAATGCCACCATTTATCGTCACAGTCCTTTATCACGCAGGCGCTAGGAGAAACAAAAGAGATGGATCCCATGATTCAGTGGACCACGTGAAGGAGGAGGGAATGATCAGATCATGTGACCCCAGTCCTACCTGTCTAGCCCTCATTCCTCATCTCATTTCCCTGCAAGTTACTCCGAAGTAGGCATCTGTCAGGCTAGAGTGGGAGCAGTGTTCTAGCGCTCCCTGGCTACTCCAGCGAGGTCACCTCGGGCCAGCAGGGATCAGGAGGGTGGGCATTGGATAGTTGGATAGGCGAAGTAATAGAATGGTGCCTGACCCCTCGTTAAGCTATGGATGGTTTCACTCTCCCTGGAGAAGCTGTTTTGATGTGCTTGCTGCAAACTGCTGGTCTCCACACCCTCAACCGTTCTCAACTCCCCTTGCAGGGAGAAGGCCTCCTGGGCACTGCCCTTCCACCTGTGCCAGCTACCCCCTGTCCCACGGCTGAATGAAGGCCATTTCAAGCGCTGCTTCTCCCTCATTCCTTCCAGCTGCTGCTCTTGCTGCAGGGCCAAGCCCCCTTTAATGCTGTGCTTGTCCAGCCCGCCACCACAACCCCTCTCAGCCCTCAGCAGGTGGGCGGGGCCGGCTGCCTCTTTAGGACCAGTAGCTTCCTCCATTTAGCCAAACGGCTCCTCTCCTCCTACTGGAACGAAGTTCCTGCCAGCCAGCATTACCCTGCACCATCGTCTGTCAGCAGCCCCAGCCCATGTGTAGAGAGAAGGAACTCACTGAGAGCTTCTCCTGCCCTTGCAAGCCCATTCCAGCGACTTGTAACCATCTCCAAGGGACCCGGCATTGCTCCCTAGCCATTCATCTGCATGAGTACTCTTCTTGGCTCCCTTAAATGGTCAAGAAAGCAATTTTTCTGCTTGTCAGTCATTGAGGTCAGCTGTGTGAGCCCCCATGTGGGACAAGGGTGTCTCCTTCATTGCTTAAAGGTATAAGGGTGATTCATTACAGAGATTGGGGAGCAAGAGGGCTAGCGTCACTTAAATCACCACTGGTGTCTGGCCCAGTGTGTGTATATGTGTGTGTGTGTGCGTGTGTGTGTGTAGACAACCTCTTTACCCCCAAAATGTGGCCATTTGGGAAGTGGTTTTCCTGAAAAGAAGTTGCTGAGTTTGATTTCCTTATCCCCAAACAACAACAAGGGAAAAAAAGTGAATTAAACACACCTTGAGCCACCCCAAACCCACAAACTATACACTCTAGGCAGAAAAATAGCACCCTTTTGTACATTTAGCAATAAGAGGGATCTCTTCCCACCTACCCTGAGCATTCCAATGCCCATCTCCCACCCTGTTAATGTGAGCAGTGCATTAGCCTGACCACAGGTGGTCGCTATGGGCTAATGGAAAATACTCGACGGCGGGCAAAGCCCCCAACAGATGCATGAATGTTTGCGAATGTCGGCTGTCACTGCCCCCATACACTGTGTCTTTATAGAACCCTCCCTTGGCCACCTCACCTGCCATCTCCACCTGGATACAACTTGCTCAAAGGCTGGTGACTTGTGGGCCATTCATCTACAAGTCCTGATGGAACAAGAGGCCCAAGCCTAGGGGATGCAGGAACGACCCATTTTTAAAATGTTACTAGTCCCAGCCAATGTTTTGGTGATATTCCACTTGAATTTCCCAATTGAAAACAAGCCAACAGACCCTTAGACTGGTCATGTAAATGTTGCTAGCCTCTGTTGTACAACTAAACATTGCTGTTTGAACAATAACGCCCTGGTCTTTGTGTTGTGTTCCTTCCTCCTCAATCAAATCAGCCGCCCATGTGTGAGCTAGGGACCCTCTTGGCAAGACATAGTCACAGATATTAAGAAATTGAACATGTGCAATCTATTCATTTTCAGGTGACATGAGGTCATATCCCAGCCACTTCCTGGAACTTCGTAACCCCAGTCATGAGTGGGAGAGCTGATACTTGATCTTACAGCTCCCGTGTTTTCCCAAAACAAATTAGTCCCATTTACTTGACTTCTTAATGTCCCCTCTTTTTACCCCCTGAAGGCATAAGGACTGATGAAAGCCTAGTCTTGCCTAGAAAACAATTTTACCATGAACATATCCAAAATATAAAGGGGCCAGTGAGATGGCTCAGCTGGGAAGAACACTTACTGCCAAGGCTGCCAACCTGAGTTTGATCCCTGGATTCTACATGGTGGAAGGAGAGAACTTCCAGAAGTTGTCCTCTGACCTCCATGTGTTCTTGTGCATGTGTGCATGTACACACACACACACACACACACACACACACAATTCAAAGGGAACACGGCAGAAGGGCCAGTTGGTAAGTGTGATGGCTGTATGACTGTACAAGCGTGAAGACCTGAATTCAGCTCCCTAACACCCACATATAAGAACCAGGTATGATCCCATGTTTACTGGGGGCGTGCTGGTCACCAACCTGTGTCTGGGTTCAGTGAGATAATCTTTCTTGAGAGTGAGAGGACACACTCTTCTGGCCTCTTCGAGTGCACACAGGCATGCACAGCCAGACACACATGTGCACCTATACCACTTGTACGCTCAAAGGAAGTTAAACACTAGCCTTTTTCTTGAAGGTAGGGCGAACTTTTCCCTTGTAAAATGAATGGTGGGTGCCACCCGGCTAGCTTTACCTGAAATAGTTACACGGAAACTGTATTTATTTTAAACACTGCTTGGCCCATTAGTTTTAGCCTCTTATTGGCTAACTCTCACATCTTGATTAACCCATTTCTAATAATCTGTGTAGCACAAGGTGGTGGCTTACCGGGAAGGATCTTAACCTGTGTCCATCTTGGAGAGGAGAGCTATAGCGTCTAACTCACTTCCCTTCTTCTCAGCATTCTGTTCTGTCTTCCCCGCCTACCTATGTTTTGACCTATCAGGCCAAGCAGTTTTCTTTATTAATCAACCAATGAAACAACAGATAGAAGACCCACTTATATCATTCTCTCACTTGTAACTTACTAAACAACGCAACTCTCCTTTGTTTATTTCCCTAAAGTTTAATGTGAACTGTAAGCAATCATTTGGGACCTTGACTTTGTGTGAGGTGAACATAAGGTGTAAATGAATGAGGAGAAGCAGTTTGGAGGGGCCAGAATGGAAAAGGATGAGTCAAGAGGCTCTTGAAACCATGCAGGGAAAATAATGAAGATGGCAACTAGTGGCAACGCAACACAGATGAAGAGAAGTGAAATTTGAAAGACAGCCATTTGGTGGACATCAGCTGTCACAGTCGCAAGAAACCTAAGCATTCTTCTGATACCACCACCATACAAATGCAGCAGGTGAAGTCCAGAGAACACAATCTTCTTGCTTAGGGTTGCATTGGCCATGACAGGAGAGACTAGATCTTGATGTGTGCTCCACTGCTGTATACTATTCTTATTGAATTTAATTTTTAATTCTAGTAAGTTTTACACTTAAAAAAGAGCTGGGTGGTGGTGGCACACACCTTTAATCCCAGCAGTCAGGAGGCAGAGGTAGGCGAATTTCTATGAGGTCGAGGCCAGCCTGGTCTACAGAGTGAGTTCCAGCTCAGATTTCAAAGCTACAAGAAGCGCAGCCATGCCAAAAGAATCTGTACTAGGCATGGTGGCACATGCCTTTAAACCCAGTACTTGGGAGGCAGAGACAGGAGGACCTCTGTGAGTTTGAGGCCAGCCTGGTCTACATAGTTTCAGGACAGTCAGAGCTACATAGAGAAACTGTCTCAAAAGACAACGAAAGAAAAAAAAAATCGGAAATCAGTACATGTCTTACGGTGACAGTATGGTTATATGGCAATTGTTTCTTCACTGGCACATCAATGCTCTAGAGCGTCTTGACTAACACAGTGAGTGTGATTGACACCTACAAAGGCACAGCGGATCCCACTGAAGGCTGAAGTCCACTTCCTCATCTAGCTCACCTTTTCTGGTTGCCATCGGTTAGGATTCTAGGCCTTCTTAGAGGGAAAAAAGCTCTGGTCTTAAAAGAGTGGAGGGATGTAGACCCTTGATCTGGATTGGTTTAGGGTAACCTGGGCTGAGATTTTGGGCTAATGGCTGCTTTTTAAATAAAACCCCCAACTCCTAGCAGGAGCAAGGGGGCCTGGCTGTAGGACTACACAGAAGTTGTAGGATAGATCTACACACCCATCCTCCAGACCCTCCCCGCTCTAGGGGTGGGGCCAGCTCTGCGAACACGCCCCTCAGGGCTCTGTCCCCTGGCTCTGCCAGTTCCTCTTGTGACAGCTGCCCCACTCAACTCCAGATTTCTGCGCCATAATCTCCGCCCTTTCCTCAGGGCCCCGCCCCATGCTTTGTAGGCTCCGCCCTTTCCCATTTGAAGGGCAGACGGAGGCGGGAGGGGACCAAGATGGCGGTGAATCAGAACCACACAGAGGACCGCCGTGGGGCCACCATCCCTCGTGGCGAAAGGTGCCTGAGGGGACTTCCAAGCTGCCGTCGAGGAGGGAGGAGATGCTCAGGGGTAGCCTTGCGCGAATCAATGACTTTCCTGCCCTTTCCGGGCGCGGTCCTTTGAGCTCCGCCCCTGACGTTTGAGGGCATGCTCCTTCGTGGGCCGTCAGGGAGCCTTTGGCACGTGTTCCGGGCGCCAGGACCCGCGTCTTCAGAAAGGTCTGAGAGAGAGATGTGTGAAGAGTTGGTCAGCCCTTGCATCGTGCAGCGTGGCCGCCATCGACTGTGTGCAACTTTACGGGGTGACAGTCACCCTGAGAGCCCTGGGTGCGCCTCACACTACCCGTGTTAGGCGAATCAGAAGAGGGGCTAAGATGTGGAGCGTAGGGGAAAAATCCCCGAACTGGCGAGAGCCTTCCTCAGAAATTCCCTAAAGGTCACTTTCTTGTTTCTTCAACCTGGGAGATGACCTTTATTGAAAAGACTGGGAACAAAAAATTAAGGGTGTTCAGGAAGAATGGCGCCCTCAACCTCTTCCGTGCTTGGGATTGTAAGGTGACTTCTCTGTCAGCGCAGGCGCATCTCCAGGCAGACTTAAGACCTTGACCCCAATCCCTTCTTTAGTCCACCCCTCACCCACTTTCCCTACACTGTGTCTCCACTTCTCGATAATCTCTTGCTGATTTTCCTTTATTTCCCACCTGGCAGTGAGACGCAAATTCAATGGTGTGCTCAAATGAACATGAAGGCCAGTTTGAGGCCATCCTGGTCTCCATAGTGAGTTCTAGCATAGCCAGAGCTATTTAGTAGAGAGACCGTGTCTCAAAAAAGAAAAGAGAAAAAAGCCCTGATTTTTTTTTTTGTTCCTTTGAAGTTTTAGAGTATGTGCTCTTGAATATGTGCCGATAGTTTGCACTGAACAGCTAATAATGGCAAGTATTGTCCTTCGTGCTTCTCTCTGCTGTGTCTGCAATGAGAGCAGAGCTGTTCCTCTCATTTCGCGGGTAGGAATACAAGACACGGTTTGCTCAGAGTCATTTTCAGTGTGTATGAGAAAGCCCAGGTTTGGATTTGGATTGACATGCATCAATTTCTCTTGCTGCCCTTCAGAAAAGTTTTGTTTTCTGCTTTCTCTTTGTGAAGACCCTGTTGGCTATGACTTTCCCAGATACAAACTGTAGTAAGAAAATAGTTGAGGGGGGGCAGGAATTGGCTCTATTTTAATTTTCCTTGTAGTTATGATACACATTTGAGAGTTTAGGTACAATTCGTGGTGTGTTGAATGTGTTGAGACTGAAGTCTTGCTATTTATTTAGCTAGGGCTGGCCCTGAACTTGTGAATCTTCTGCCTCAGCAGAAATTCTCCCAATTGGAAATTCTCCCAATGAATTTTGTAGTAATTAAACAACTACAACAAAACATTCCAGAATATCTCAGATTTGGAATTGAGCAAGGGTTTATTTACACTGGAATATCAACCATTGACAGTAATAATATAGATATTGACGTGAAAAAGCATCCCCAATGTATTGGTAAATGAGGAAAATAAATTACAAAGAGGTCAGGGGAGCACATGTATATCGAGGAAAAATTTAGTGACTAAAGTTGGAGTTAAAAAGTGTCTTGTTTAAAAAGTGGAGTTAAAAAGTGTCTTTGCCTTGGTGCAGTATATGTTAAACAGACCTAATCTAAAAACTTAAAATGCTCCATTGAAGCCAGATGTGATCATGCAGGCCTGCTGGGATTACAGAAGATGGTGCAGGTCTTCTGGGATTACAGGGGATGGTGAAGGTCTTCTGGGATTACAGGGGATGGTGAAGGTCTGCTGGGATTACAGGGGATGATAAAGGTCTTCTGGGATTACAGGGGATGGTGCAGGTCTGCTGGGATTGCAGTTCTATGCTGCCATACCTGACTTGGAGAGCATTTGTCATCATGACTGAGAGGTCATAAATGTACAGGCCAGGCTGTGTTGTAAAAATGAAAAAGATTAAATTGTTTTATTTTATCCATTTTTAAAGATTTATTTATTTATTTAATTTTTCATGATATTTATTGAACTCTACATTTTTCTCTGCTCCCCTCTCCCCTTCAATCCTCTCCCAAGGTCCCCATGCTCCCAATTTACTCAGGAGATCTTGTCTTTTTCTACTTTCTACTTCTCATGTAGATTAGATCTATGTAAGACTCTCTTAGTGTCCTCATTGTTATCTAAATTCTCTGGGATTGTGGTTTGTAGGCTGGCTTTCTTTGCTTTATGTTGAAAAACCTCCTATGAATGAGTACATGTGATAATTGTCTTTCTGGGTCTGAGTTACCTCACTCAAATAATGTTTTCTAGTTCCATCCATTTCCCTGCATAATTCAAGTTGTCATTATTTTTTTCTGCTGTGTAGTACTCCATTGTGTAAATGTACCACATTTTCCTTATTCATTTTTCGATCGAGGGGCATTTAGGTTGTTTCCAGGTTCTGACTATGACAAACAAAGCTGCTATGAACATAGTTGAGCACATGTCCTTGTGTCACGATTGAGCATCCTTTGGATATATACCCAAAAGTGGTATTACTGGGTCTTGAGGAAGGTTGTTTCCTAATTTTCTGAGAAATTGCCACACTGACATCCAAAGGGGTTGTACCAGCTTGCATTCCCACCAGCAATGCAGAAGTGTTCTCTTTTCCCCACAACCTCTCCAGCATAAGCTGTCATCAGTGTTTTTGATTTTGGCCATTCTTACAAGGGTTAGATGGAATCTCAGAGTTGTTTTGATTTGCATTTCTCTGATGACTCAGGATGTTGAACATTTCCTTAAGTGTCTTTCAGCCATTTTAGATTCC